TCATTGTTTAAAGCATATCATTGTTTAGTATTGTTAAATCTGTATTGTATTTATAATTTTTTTTTTTTTTTGCAACAAGGAAGTTTTTAATGCTATTCTCACAAACTCCACATAAACTGCTGGCGAATCAACAGCCTTCCTTATGAGAGAGGGGTCAGGTTGGTTTGGTTAAGTATGGAATTTATATATTTTCATATTTGTGCAGATTTATTTTACAGAAAAGCATGTTTTGTCTAAATGTAGGACTAGTTGTGTGTGGTTAATGGATGTGTAAGTTGAGTGGTGCTGGTTAGTCCATTGATTGTGTTCATGGAAGACGTGTAAACTAGCCAGGACTCGATAGCAAAGTCATATAATTTTTCCCAGTTGAAGCCAAGAAATCCCCTTATGCAGCCAGATTTACTCTGCTGGCGTCTAAATTTCTTCTGTAGGTTGCTCTGAAGCAGTTTATAGACTGTTTCTGAATGGTGAAATTATATGGTTCGGCTGTAGAATCCGGGTGTCAATCAAAGGTGGATCAGATGTAAAATCTAATGATTTGTGTTATAATGTACACCTTTTAGTGCCTAAAGGTTAATTGCCTTGGAATGTTCACAATCTGTTGTGTTAAGTGTTTGTACATAATTGTAAATATGTGCGTGGCGTTTTTTTTGTCCGTATTTGTTGTCAGGCTCATCCTACATCATGCTCATCTCTCTGTAGTCTTCGTCGTACTATGTTTTAAAAGATACGTAAACATTTGACTGATGGATGCTGAATGCACATTGTCATAGGCAGCTAATTATCACACTGTTTGAACTGCACAGCTGCAATACTGGAAGATAGATGAAACCTTGCAATTCTCAAACTTTATACAGTGATATTGAGAAATTTGATATATTTATATAGCACAGGAAGTCAAAGCACACTTTGGGAAATGAAAATATCTGTGCTTTCATTCAAATTCCTACCAGATTTGTATTTATTTTTTACTATCAGTCAGTATGGGAAGAAAAACATTAGTGGTTAGAGTTAGAAAAATATATTGCCCAATAAAAACAAGCATGGAATTAGTGTAAAAAATCAACTAAACTCAAGCACACCAGAAATACAGTACATGATTTGGATCTCAAGTGCTCAGCTGAAAACATTGTCAAATGTACATTAGCATGTCCGATAATGTGAAAGTAAATCTAAAATTTATAAGAAAAAATGCTGTACCGTGAAAGGTAACGCATTCAGGTTATTATTTACTTTATTATTTGGAAATTACTAACAATCGCTCTCTTTTCACCTAACATGGGGTATGACTGGTTTACATTTGCTGTTTAGCATGTAACAAGTTTTACTGTACTGCATTGCCCAAGCTATTCTAGAATTACATGTTGCAGAAATTATATTGAAACTTGATGTCAATGTTGTGCATTATGTGTATTCTGAAGAACCGTTCAGTTGAATGTCTGTGTTCCAAACTAGATCTTTTATATATATATATATATATATAATATTGTAAATGTTGATTTATTTGCTCTCAACTTAATAGTCTTCATTGATAATATTCATTTATCAACATGTTTATGAAGATATGATGTTTGTTGAATTTGCCCAGGAAATGACTACATTGTCTATAATAATAATAAAAAAGAACTCTAATTGTTTATCACCATTGGGGTTTCTTTTTCTTTTCTTTTTTGCAGCAACATTAGCATGTAGAATTTACATGTAAACGGAAAGCTTCAGGATGCCATATAGATGCTCAGAGATCTCAAAAATAATTTATCCTTAGCAGAAATGACCAGCATCAAAGTTATGAGGAGGGGAAAAAACTAAAGCATTTCATCGTTCAGTGGGTATATTGTTAAATCTGTACTGTATTCGAAAAAAAAAAATGTTGTTTTTTTGCTCATCTGCCACATGCTTCAGTTCCGTTTTATTTTATTTTATTTTATATATTTTATTTTATGCCGCTGTCTTTGCTTGATGGGCCTTCAGTTCAGTATTTTTTATTTTATTTTATTTTTTATTTCTGAGAAAAAAATTTAATCAAAACAAAAGCATGCACTTCCCTGGAAAAGCTCTCAAACAGTGTGCTCGACCAAAAAAAAATAATATCTATGTGATACTATCTTTGTGATAGTCTTAAATTATTGTATTTTTAGAGCCCAGGTGTGCCAATTTTTTTATATTTTCAAGGTTATTTTATTACTAAGCCAATCACTTGAGTCCCCCAAAAATTGGTCAATGAAAAAGTGTCTACCATAATAATTAAGTTTTTATATGTTGCTAAAATGTTGTATTTCTTCAGAATACAAGCCAACTCCTAAATAGCCATTAATGGAGAAAGATGTTTTTTGCATGCAGACTGTTTGCATCTAACCAGCCAAACCTTGAACCCCAGCTTCAAAACAATGGCATACTAAACCAAAAAGCCATATTTCCATAAAAGACTTCTTTCAAGTCATTTTAATGCAACACTTACACTACTACTAATAATGATACCCTTAAGTGTCCTTTTAGCCTCTGTTTTCCACTGAGTCAAAAGCAGCCATGCTGCAGAGCTCTGGCCATTGTTTTGCAGCTCTCTGTCCCACTGCTGAAACAGGCCATGCATTAGCCTGAGCCAAAGACGGCTTTAAGAAAAGAAAGAGGTAAGCCCCTGTTTCAGGCTTGTCCTTAGAGCTTTGGCCGTAAGCTGCGTCAACATGATAAAGATACACTTGGGGTGAGAGCCCTTTCTAGTATTCAAGTTTAGTAAGTCTAAACTTGCTTACAGACTCGAAACTCTAATCTCACTCTGAACTCAATCAGATAATTAAAGGTCCAGATAAATATAAATTTTGAGACAGCTTTTTTGTGTGATAATATTGTGTACAAAAGTAGGTCAGTAACTTTCTGAACAAAAAGTGGTGGTTATATGATATAACCAATTACTTGCACTAAACATCAACTCAAAGAAATATGAAGAGTTTATTTGCAAAAACAGATAACTCCGTTTTTTTTATTTTAAAAAAATCATGTTTTTTATTATGTTATAATGTTTCTATTGTGCTTTATTGTGTTAGTTAGCTGTATTTTTTTGTTATTTTTTTACCTAATCAAAATAACCCAACTGCAGTTTGATTGAGATTAATTGGAATGCACAATGAAAAAACATGATTATTGAAAATTGTTAAAAACGGAGTTATCTGTTTTTGCAAATGAGCCCTTCATGAGCCCATACTTAAGTATTGAAAGTAAAAGTACAAGTAAATGCAAAATGGAAAAGCAGCAAATAAATATAAATAAAAAATGTTAATACGCGGACATTTCTTCCATTTTATATTTTTGGGTAAGAATAAGAAGCACTTCATCCGGTACTTAGTGTCTTTCATTCCAACATAAGAAAACATTTCTGGAATCTGCATCTGAAATAGCATTTAGATGTTTTTACACAGTTTATGTATCTCAAAGTGGACATGGATGTATTTAACCAGCAGCTACAGATGGATAAATAATGTTTTGTTTTTAACATAAAACGTTGAATACTGATATTTGAAATAATTTAAAACATGAAAAAAACAGTCGAAATGTGAAATTAAAACCGCCAGTAGGTGACAGCAAGTGACTGTTAATGAGTGAGTCATTGAGATTCAACTGATTCATTCAAACGACTGATTCATTCAGGGACAAAGCACTTGACTGTGTTAATGAGTGAATCACTGAATCATTTTTATCAACAGATTTGTTCAAAAAGCTGATTCATTCAATAAGAAAACACCGTCCATTGCTCAGAGACGCAAAACAGTGCTGTGATCTTT